TCTATACAACAAATATGTAATGGCCAGTCGCGAAAGAATTCTATTAGCCATCGGTTGAGGTGGAAAAATATGCGTTTTTTCTCATGCAATAAAAGATCAATCAAAAAACTTGCATTATTCATTCATGCTTCTCATTCAAATTTGTTAAGATTAGACAAAAAAGAAGAAATTCTTTGAAACGAATATTTTTCAAAATATTTGCATTAAATACAACATATTAAACAAGAAAATGTTTGACAAATAAAAATTGGATAAAACAACTTAAGGATGAATTAACTTAAGTAAATAAGTTTGCGCATCATTTAGCCTAGCTTCATCGGTTGTTAATACTTGAAATTTTTGCCAGGAAGTCGCCAGTAGAATTGACTGAGTCATCGTCGTCACCACTTTGACCATTTTTTAATAATTTATCTCAATTTGAGTCAATAATCCTACCATGATTATCTGAATCACCTATTTACTTCGTTCCTATTAAAATTATTATTATTATTAAAATAAAAAAATTATTAAAATAAAAAACCTAGTAAAACAATTATTTTACTCTGCAATAGATTTCATTTCTTTGACAAGTCAGATTCTTTTTTGTTCAATTTTCTTGAAAATTTGGAGAATTCGAAATTTAAAAAAATATTTCTTTCCATTTCTTATTCATTTTATTCAATTTTCTTCCGAAAATTTCGAGCAACTTATCAATTTTTCATGGGTCACAAATAATGGTTGCTGCTCAGATCAACCGTCTAAGTTCATGTCGTTCCACTGACGAAAGTAAATCTGTCGTTAAAAAAAAGCAAATTTTTTCTCGTAATGCAGATAATGGAATGCACCTGTACTCCTATCCCGAAAAGGCAGAAGTTTCTCAATATATTAATAGCCAGTGGAGCGAGCATAATCAGAAATGGTGCACCCTAACTACTTTTTTTATCTAAATTCTGTCGATTTTTTGGGAATTTAAATTTTTGGCATTACTTTACTAAAAATCAATTAAAAGCTATCAAAAACAATTAAAATTTGCTTTCTTAATTAGCCAAAAGAATTTAAAAATTTACACTCCTTTGTATCACAAAATTTATTCTTTGTGATCATCGGAATTTTTCTTCTTTTCTCAAAATTTCATTATGCACTCTTTTTTCCGTAAAATTATGATTATAACAAGCAATAAAAGTATTGAAAATTGGGAAATACTGAAATACTGCGTATAACGTCAAATACAGTTGCTGAGCCAAGTTTTTTTGTTTTTGTGCATGTTTTAATGAGACACTTCCGCTGACTAACCATTTTTTCTCTTTCAAGGAAAGGAATTTATGATTTGTTCGGAACATTCATATTCACATGATATTCGTCTCAGCTTGTTCATCGCTGCCTTTGCATTTTGAATGAAAAAAAAAGAACGAGCAATTTCTTTATGTGGTAACTGTAGCAGACATTCCGTAGATATATTTGAAAGAATATAAAGTTTTATGACCTTGAAGCAAATATTAAGTTTTTTTAATGCTCGCCACAATAAAATTTAAAATGAACTCTTTCAAAAAAAAAAAATTTGTTATCATATTATTATTACTGTTATCATATAACATTTGAACAGCTGAACGTGCGAATAGGTTACATTTACCAGAAATTTTACAACAGTAAAATCAAATTAAAGTAAAACATTTAGTTATTTAAAGTCGAAATTATAGAGAATCTTGGAAGAAATTCCTAAAAAATAAATAGTAAAATTAATGATTGGAAGCAATGGAATGCCTAACACGCATTATATTATTATATTAAAATAATCTTGATTCGACTGTTTTAACAGGACTGTTTTAATAAAATCTTTATTCGTTACCTCAAACTTGAGTAATTAAACCAAATAGATTAAAAGGCGAAATAAAGAGAAATAATTAAGGGATAAAGGATACATTAAACAAATGAATATTTTAAACATTAATATTAGTATTAAAATGTTTAAAATGGCATAAGAATGGCATACGATATGGTGCCTAACAGAAGCATAATATGGCGCTTAGAAGAGGGAGAAGAATGATATGGCGCCTTAAAGTGCAGAAGAATGATTTTTGTACGCATGCAACATATACTGTAAATTGTCCTTTATATTTATTGATATATAAAGTGCAAAATCGATTTAAAAAGTTTTATTGGCGTGTCGGAGTCACTGGTTTAATAAATTTTAAATAATATAAACATCGCATTCCGCGACAGAAACCTTATCCAAAACACTGAGACTCAAACAACTTTACAGATCTGTATATTTGTGTTCAAGATAATGTCCGAACGTATAGGAGACTCAGCAATATATGGGCTGTGGAAAAAAACTGGCTTGCATTCAAAACTTTTAAATATGACTTCGAGCTTCTCATTACTTAAATTACTTCCTTGACTATAAAACGCTCACCAACTACATATAAATGAATTGGCCAATGAGAGAAGAAATTCGTTCTAAGCCACTTTTAGCTCACTAAAAAGAAAGGGCCTCAGCTGGAATACGACTTTTAATTACTTCACAACAGAATGACGCTGGCTAGGCCATGATCTTCGCCGCCTCTCACAGGAATCGATGCATATGTCGCCAAATAAAATATTAAGTTTTGTGATGGATAGAGTTAAAACAGTGATGCCCAAAAAAAAGCCTGGACATCAGACACCTTCAAAAGAAAAGATATACAAGAATCTCGTTTTTTTAAATACTCAAGTTCTCGGTGATAATAGGGCATCACCATCAATAATTGTTAAGACTATAAATGAACAAAAATATACGTCGCATAAATATGGTTTCTAAAAAACTGTTTTGCTTTTTATGATCCTTCTCTGTACATAAGAATTTTTGAATAATTCAGAATAATTAAAAGCAGTTTTAACTATAATCGTTTGAATATAGCATTTGTGCTCCTGCATTCACTCAAATAAATTGTTTTGCTTCAAATTTTTTGTTGGGTATTAAAAATTCGTTTATTATAGGCCATTTAAACTTGATATGAATTAGCTGCAAAAATAAAAATAGTAAAGTAAATAAACGTTCTATTCAAATTGAATTTTTCCCATACAGCCAAGTTTATTTAAGTGGAACCTATTGAGCACTCATAAATTAGAAGCATCCAGAATTCACGGAATTTGGTTCAGGTTGAGATGAGTGGCAGTCGATGCATTTTCGAGAAATATATAACCGAACATTTCGAATCAACTGTATATTCGCATATGGATTAATGCACTATTAGTAATATTTTGATTAAAGAATTGAAATGGCCACAAGCCTGTGCTGAGGATACTGCATTTCACAACTCAAATCCAAATCAGACTTTGTTAAAAATAAGCAATAAAATTTCATTGATAACTGAAACCAATCAAAAGTTAAATTCAAAGGTTGACATTAATACATATCGAGTACAATATCAATAATGCTGATGGCGAATAAACGACGATTTTTTAACCGAAAAGCTTAATAATCGTTTTCATCAAATGAGAAAGCGTTGCAGAAAATTAAGGCAAATGCTTATAAATTAAGGCAAATTTATCCGTTGGATTGCTGCTTAATTAGCTATTTGGTACCTCTGGGTCCCTTCCATCAGAGGATAAATGTAATTGCCAAGACAGCCTCGAACTATTTACAAAGTATTCTTAATATCATTTGCATTTCCTCTTCTTTTGACAGCGTTCATGATTTCTCTGACTTCTATTTCTATCTCACTTACCTCACTTCTATTTCTATTTAACGGTTTTATTTACAGTCTTTTCATTTTAATTCAACTGAAACCACGATTTATAATTGCATTTCTCTGTTCTTCTGCAAGAGTTTTGAAATTCACTTACGTTCACCTTGTTAAATGTCATCATTGTCAGAACTGTTTTTTTATTAACTTTAGAAAATCATGTAAAATTTATCGAAACACCCGAAAAATTGGTTGAAGCAGTAAAAGAAAGTTGTTCTCATCGAATGAAGGTAAGAGAACTGGCTAAGAGGCTAATGTTCACCATTACCGGTTAGGCTCGCTCTGCTGCATGGAGCATCAATTTAAGGCTATTTTATTAAATTATAAATTTGTAGTCGTAAAATTTAACGGAAAATTGGTATTGTATATTTTATAAAAATTTTAGATCTGCAAATCTTTGAATCAGATGGAAGCAAGGCATGGCGAATTGGTGCGAATGAGATGCATGGTTCAGGACAAAATGCACCTGGAATTTTATTCGAAATTCATTAAGCTTGGTTCTTCTGACGAGGTTCATTGTGGAATTCTCAAGGATTCATTCAACTTTGAGAAAAGAGTTGTTCAGGTTGGCGTTTTTAACCAATAATTTTCCCACTTTTTAAAATTATAGTGCATTGAATAATTCAATATCCTTAGTTTTCTTACTATTGATTTGTTTGATTTGAGTGTGCTTTTATTTTTTTATTTTAAATTTTCGAATAATTTCCTATCTGTATATTTGCGTTTTCGACTCCTATTTAGCTGGATATTTAAATAACATGAATATTACAATATATATCTTCTAACAGCGCTCACCATTACTGGTTAGGCTGATTGCGCTGCCTACAACGGCGAGGCGTTTCCAAGTTGTTCGGTACGGCGCCGTGGCTGACAGTAATAGAAGCATTCGTTTTTTCACCATCTAAGTCCATATATTGCTGGTCCGCCTATTCGTTCGAAATCTTTCCCAGCTGTATTAGGCCAGGTTTTAATTTGCCATCCTCACCTTTGACGCCATTTATCACGGTTTACAATATAATATATAATTGCATGTTTAGAGCCCATTGGATGTATCAGATGATTTCCTAACATTGCAAGAACGTTATTGTTATATAGTGGTTCCTGTGCCTTTTGCCACTAACTGGTTTGTGGACAAATTCAATAGTATGTGGCACTTTTTTCGTATTTTTGGTCTGCCATTGGCTATCATTTGAGAGTTTTAGTGCATGAAATACTTTATTTTGTGTTACATTTTTGTCAACGACAAATATTTCGATAATAATCGGGTTGAAAAAGAATAAAACGTGATGAGGAGAGATGATTTATTGGTTTGAGAAACATAAAGGTTTGAGAAATAAAAAATTGATAATATCATATTTGCCCCCATTATCGATAATTCGGTAAAATACAAGAGCAAGTGGCTCTTGAATTTGAGGTCTTTTTGAACTTTCGAATTTTATTTCAATAAATTAGTATTCAAATAAAAAATCTTTAAGTTTTTAAAGGTTTAAACTTGCATTTTAGCGTAAATATTTGAAGACACTTGTTGTGTTATAATTTCATAACTCTGCGCTTTATAATTTCGCTTTTGATATCCGTTTATAAGCAGATGTGGAATCGATTGAAGGATCGACTGCCACGCAATGGAACTTCCGATCTTTTTGTGATTTTGGTGATGCGGATATAACAAATAAAGGAAGAAGTATTGTGGCTAAGGTAAGTCACAAATTACAAATCACAATTAACTTTCTGTTTTATATGTGTATATTTCAAGATGTTCGTTTTGGCATATATAATAGTTTTTATTTAGTTTATTCACAAATCTGCGAATAATCTTTTGCCTAATTATATTTATGATCTGTATGGCATAATGGATCTGTCAGGAGTGTCGACTGAAGCAGATGATAATAACAGGTTTGAAATTTTACTTTACTTTTCTTTGTTTACGTCATTTTATGGTGAAATGGAAAAGATACTAGATGGGATAGTTTTAAAGCACCATATAATATCTTCTGTTTCACAACTTAATGAAAAAAAAAAAAACTATTTTCAGGTGCACTCTGCAAGTTCTTTCTTTCTATGAGGTTACTTATCCAGAAATGACTCACTTGTGGCCTGAGGTTCTTTATTTTTATTATTTAACTTAAACAGTTTGATCAGTTACTATCGACTTTTTATTCAAGTGAAGATATGATGATGGAATAGATTAAAAAACAAAATTTTTAACAGCTAATTTCGGATAATATAAATATATCAATATCATAAATGAAGTTGATGTCAAACATCTTTCCATCGTTATTAGATATTTTTGTACGTATGGTTTTTCGGTTTTATAAAGTTTAGAGAGTAATCATTTTGGCAGGTCTCAACGTTAGAGCAAATTGTACGAGGAATCGACATTATGCGGCAGATATTTAAAAGTTTCTTCAGAGATGCAGTAGTCACTGAATATTTGCTTTGTCATCTTATTTCTAGCACGTTAGTTACTCTTGTTTCGGTCGAGAAGCGTGTGGTGAGTAGGCTCAAGATAGTCTTTTTGCTTGTTTATAGATTTACAGTTTTAATATTAACCAGTTTTAAATGTAAGGCTGTTTTCCTCAGTGAAGTTTTCTACAGTCTTTATGAATAGTAGTTGGTTTTAGTTACGCTAGGAAGGATGGATATCCTATATGCAGTATGTCGATGAATCTTTGCAACATAGAAAATAGTAGTAACGTAATTCATTTGCTTCAGTTATTTTGTGCGAAGGTCAGATATATTTAATGAAAAAGTATTTTTCAATAAATTTAAATTTCATATCTTATTCTTCCTGATTTTAAAAAATACTTGCTCAATTCCATAATACTGCGGACTTTAATTATTAAATTCAATCTAGAGCAATTTTTCTTACTTCTAGAGTTTTCCTTACTTCCAATCGAGCAAGTTTTCCCACTTTTTTTTTTAAAGTCCTCACCATTACTGGTTAAACTCGCTCCACTGGCTTGTCACATTGAGCAATATGCCACGGAATAGAAATACAGGTGAGTCACCCGAATTTACAGGTTTATTCCTGCGGGGAATCGAACCTTAGCGTCGGTGGAGCTCCCAATGGAGCAACAGCCCACTGAGCCATTCTATCCATTTCCTACTTTTAATGCATGCTTAAGCGCTTTAATACAATACATAAAACCATATTCGGCTAATCCTTGTCATTCGTTATTACGGATATTTTTTTAAAATTGTGTTCGGGTGAAATTAGATTTTAAATTTCACTGCTAGCTCCTTTAAGTATTTTACGTTTTTTTCTTCTACAGGTAAACCATATTTTAATTACAAATGAAAGTTTATCTGAACATTTGCTACAACCGAGAATAAATGATGATTGCCAACTGATGCAAAATTCTTTGCAACTGACGAATGGTACAAATGTGGTTTTTGATGAGACAAAATTTAGTGGTGAAGTGCCGAAAGATGTCAACACAAGTAAGTAATACCTGATTGTTTTCGTATTGTAGTTTTTCATTCCTAATTATTTCAGTTTTAGCATGCAAAAATTTGGCTGCTATTAAATTGTTAGTATCGGCTCAAAAAGTCGAATATATCTATGATTACTATGAATTAGAATTTGAATGTGACTTCAATGTTTTGTTTTTATCGAAAGCGCCTTCTTTATTAATAGAGGTATTTTTTATGCATTTTTGGCGCTAACCTTTTGAATTCGTGGTTTTTTCATTTGGTTTGATTTCATCATCTTAGCTGTTAATAATTCTTATAAAAACGCGCGTGAAATGAAGCTTGTAAATTGCGTACTGATCAAAATTATAGCATGGAGAGTGGAATGACTCAGTGGGTTGTTGCTCAATTCGGAGCTGAGGCTGCACTCCCCGTAGGAATAAACTTGTCCAAAAATCCGGGTGATGTTAGCGAATTATCTGTACTTCTATCGTCAAAAGATTTCCTGGTATATTTGTCCAGTGCCATAAGCATGCAGAGCGACTCTAATTAGTAGTTGATGGCTCTAAAAAAAATTAGCATGAATCTATGGAATTGACGATTTCTTCTTCATCGCTATTGTTTTTTGTGTTTGACAGCAAGTAATAGTAAGAGGGTAGCAAAAAATATAACGAGACAGGCTCATATCAGTGTTTTTTTTATTTTTATTTTTTTTAATTAAAAATTTCAGCTCCCATTTATTGTTCCAGCACCATCGAATTTCTCCGGTGATTCAGAAATAATAAAAAAAGTGAATTTAACTGATAATAAAATTCTTGATCTATGCAGAAAAGCAATATTTTTTTGCCGTAATAAAGTAAGAACGATTGGAATCAGGGAAAACTGTAAGAGTGTTAGTCCTTAAAAGTATTCAATATTCAATAATATGAATTTGCTCTTCTCGTTCGCCCATCTAGGTAATTTTCGCTATTAAAGAAAGGTGATAAGTGGAAGGATTTAAATGATAATAATTTTTATGATATAAATAAAGAAAATAGGAGTTTAAATTCATGATTGGTTTTAACCATCATTTGACCTTAGTTATTTAAGCTGCTTCATTTTTGTTCTTCAAATATTGATTCTTCATTTTTTAATAGCGAAAAATATAATGAGACCGATTTTTTTTTGCAGAAGATCACTGAAACATTCATTCGGAAAAGGCATCACAATCGTAATACTGTCGTTGAAGAACTACATTGGTTGTTAACTCTCAGCAAGTATTTTTTACTCTTTATTTTTCTGAAGAATTAATATAATGGTGCAATTTTTGACTTAATGTTGTTTCAGAAATTTTTATCTCTTTTCGTTTTTATTGTTTTTTTTAGTACATTATATTTGTAAGTTTCGATTTTTGAATTATAATTGGCTGTCGAGTTATAGAGGAAAATCCTCACCATTCCTCTCTTTAATCTTAGATTGCTGGCTGCATTATATGGAAAAAACGAAGTTGATATTGAATGCTGGGAGAAAGCACAGACTATGGAACTCTATCGAATAGATTTGCTGAAGTACCTTTGAGATTCAAATCGTAATCTGTTGATTTAAATCATATGCGTAAGTTTAACTTTATTTAGAAAAATAAATAAACCTTTGCAAGTTTTGATTTTTTGAATTATAGAAATTTTGAGTCTTTTCTTGTTAGCGAGCCGTCGTTCCAATAAATTTCTAATTTGTTTTGTATTATTTCTCAATTTCTGATCTTATTTTCACCGATATAGCATTAAATATAATTTTCTTGAGTTCTTCTCCTGATATCATTTAACATTTCTGGTTTTGCTTACTTCACTGGCTGCAGCACCAATTCCGCCAGGGAATTACGTGGCGATAAGTGGATCGCTAACACCAATCGGATTTCACTTTTAATGGCAAGTTTATTTTTGCTAAAAGATTGGAATCGTGAATTTTGGCCTTAATCAAAACAAAAAACCATACCACTATTCAGTCTGTCCCTGTTTCTAGTTAAAATGATATTCATCACCACTAGCTGGAAAAAAATTTGAACTTATTTTGAAAATGCTGATAAAGCTTTTAAAGCTGAAAAATCAATTTTTGCACAAAGAATTTGTATAATTATTGGAACGTCAAAACATTTATGGACGTTGCAAGCCAAGCAATCACTGCCTACATCCTATCTGAATACCGTGTGGATGTGGCTTGTTTGTGAGAGATCCATCTTCCTCATGTCGGCTCTCAAGTTATCATTAAACCTGGTTCCGAACAAAGATATTGTCAATATCACTGCGGTGTCTCGGATAACTCGGAGCAAAATGGCGTAGCGATTGTCATCTGAAAAGCCTGGATCCGCTGTGGTTGAGTGGAAGCCAGTAAATATATGGCCTACGTGCTTTTTGAATGAAAATTCTGCAATATTTCGGTATCAGTGTATATGCTTCAAATTTACGCGGAGATGACCTCGATAAGGATGAATTCTATGCGGAGCTTCAATTATTAACAGCATCTCTACCGATAAGTGCATGGTCATATTCGGGGGAGACTGGAATGCGCGCGTAGATCATGATGAACTCGGTAATTGGCCAATATGGTATCGTGGTCCAGTGTGCCAATGGTGAACGTCTTCGTTTTGCATGAACTTTTCTTACCAGTACATGCTTTCGGCATCAGGGAAGACATCTAGTGAAGTGGGACTTTCCAGATAACCAATATTCCAACCAAATTAACTATATGTTGGATTGATATCAGTCACGGCTGGAAGAGTTCTGTACTTGATAGTCGTTCTTATCGAGGCGTTGAAACTGGTAAACGTTATGGACCAGACCACGTTATGGTTTAAGGGATGAATTTGGTTCAAACTAAAGACATGTTTATAAAAGTCAGTCATACTAGAGTATACTAGCAGGAATGCGACAGTTGGATGTCGAAAGCACTGTCCAACTGTCTGAAAAAGCTGCCAAAGCCCGGATGTCAGGAGATCCTGACTATCAGGTGCTTCGAAGAATTACAACGACAGCACCACTGAAATCGCTACTGGAGCGATATGGCCTTAAATATGGAGACGACTGCTCGGATAGATGATAATGATAATAAAAACGGATAATAGGAAACTGTTTCGCCTTCAAAAACAAACTGTAATTCAGTGAAATAATATGGAATATTATTGGGGCGCCTATTAAGGCTATTAAGGATCGCCTCATAAGATGGGAAGAATTTTTTGTGGTAAAACTTAACCACTATGCTCCATCCGTTATATCGGATACAACTGATTCGCCCGTTGAGCCTTACGTTTGCAACTGTGAACCACCAAGAGGAAGTAATCTCCGTTGTCCATAAAATTAAAACCAATAAAACTCCTGGAGAAGTTCGGGCCGAACTCTTCAAAATCATTGTCCATTATCGTTCATAACTCACCTTCAACAAATGTAGTCTCTGGTATGAGAAAAGAAAATAATACCAGAAGGCTGGAGCAATTATGTTTCCAATTCCTAAGAAAGGTGACATGACGTAGTGCGACAGCTGCCGAAGAATGAGCCTAAGACATCTTCGGAAAAATTTTCGCTTTCCTTCTCTAACTAGATTCATGCCAACAGGAGATAGCAAAGTGCGTTCTAATCAAACTGGATTCAGGCGTCGTTGTAATTAACCAGATATTTACACTAGGAAGAATGCAGAAACATCGCTTCAAATACCAAGAACTCATCGTCAGCTTGCTTTATCGATTTTGCAGCTGTTCTCGATTCGATTAATAGAGCAGTTCTCTGAGAAGTGATGAAATGTGACGGTGTCCTATAGAAGATCATTCGGCTCTTAAAGGCATTTAATCAGCATACATGGGCACAGGTTTGTATTTATAGGAACTAACTGATCCTTTCGAAATTAAAATTGTTGAATAGCTGATGATGTAATCCTTTTTGCTGAAAGTTATAATGAAATACAAATAAAAGTGTCAAGAATGTGTCAAAAATTGCAACAAGAATTGGATTACCTGTGCCCATGTATGCTCAAAATTACTGTAAATAAAACGAGTGTTTTTGTCTTATATACAAGATGCTGATAAAGTACCTATTTTTATCAATTCATTGCCAGTTGAGGAAGTGCTTGAAGTACTCCAAACACCTTGGAGTTATTGGACTTATCTAATCGCAGATGGCCAGGCAAGGGAATTGTAATCTGGATAACGACAGCTAGAAATATGTTTTTCTGATGAAATCTTTATGGAACCGCGAAACCACCATGAAGAGGAAAATCCGCGTCCATATAGCATTGGCTCGATTTTGCTATATGGCTGCAAAACATGGCCAATGAGAGTGGAAGATATTTAAGAGGCTATTAACCTATGATCACTCATATCTAAGATATATTTTACGGATCCATCAGAGGATAAATTTCACGTGATCTTGTGCACCTTCTTTTAAATACCATTTGCGTTAGCAGTACCATTACCGAATGTCGCTGGTTAGGGCACGTTCTTCGTTCTTCGCATCAAAAGCGAGATAGGCCAATCAAAACCTGGACTGATACAGTCAGGAAAGATTTTGAACGTATAGTGGCACCATTGATATATGGACTTAGATGATGGAAAAAGGAATGGTTTCTATTACTATAAACGAAGCATCGAGCCGAATAGCTTGAAGACGTCTTAACTTTGTAGCCAGCGGAGCCAGTAATGGTAAGAGCTGTTAGAAAAAAGAAACAAATAATTCTTGCAGAGCAGTACCATTTATTTATTGAATTATCGAGATTTTCCAAATGTATAGTGATTTATGCACCTTTCTATAGCCTTTTGAAGGTTTCGTTATTCGTTATTTTAACATTAATTATACATTTTAACATTGGTTATCGGTTGACAAATCTCATTGTGATGAAATATCAATTACGAATTACTTATTTCATATTTACATACTTCAATCTTGTTAGCAGTTAATATTGACAGTTAATAGTTGTTCGATAGCAAGTTTTATGATCATTTTTTACTTTTTTTAGCTGAAACTTTTTCTATTTTTTTCTAGTCTTTCAACTTTTTAAATAATCTTTTTCCAATTGTTAAATTATAAATTTTGCTTGATTTTATAGCGAAATCTACAAATTTATAAAATGATAAATGATAACGAATATTCAATATTTATAAAATATTAAGATTATGCCAAAACATTTATTTGCCAAGGTTTTCAAGTACGGTAGAAATCTGGTTGTCGAACAGTTGAACTGAGAAATTGGGATTCACTGTGGGTATAAGTTTTAATATATAGAGGGTATTAACATAAAGTTAACACGATTTGAATGCTGAAGCCAGTAGTTTCCATATTTTCCCAAACATCTAAAGTGAAACAAATTTTGGAGCTAAAAAAATAGTGAATATATGGTGCTATCATCAATTAGAAAATGTAAATAAAACAGGCAAATGGCAAAAAGTAGGCAAATAACTGACAGCATGGAGAAGATAATGTTGAATTTATTGGAAGGATGTATTTTAAAATTGTATGTATATGCTTCTATAATTAGATCGAAACGTCAAGGAAAAGAGCCACAAAGAATTCGCATTAAAAGTTGAAAAAAAAACCTGATTTCATCATGAACGGTTCGTAAATAAAGAAATATAGCTAAATATATCAAAGGCGAATATGGAATAATGGTTGTCGATCCTTGAAGAAGGGACCAAAACATGAAACTGAGCCATTCAGCAAGATAATTTGGATGTCTACTGAGGCCCCACCAACCGCTTCCTTAAATGTGTTAATAAGATAGTTGAAGTGAGAAGTTGGAATGTTATTATTGCTATTATTTCCTAATTTTATTTCTCTTTATGTATCAGAATCGACTACATTTTATACATTATATATATATATATATATACATATCGTAATAAATAATCAATTGAATTATCTAAAAATTTAGGATATCATAAATTTGAGGAGAATACAGCCCATAATGACACTTCCTAGAGCAACATTGAAATTTTTTGGGGAATTATTCATCCTCAGACCTATGTAAATGAGGAAAATGGCTTACCTAAAAGTAAATTGGTTCCAAAATCACCATTTTCTCGTCGAAATTTCGCTGCAATAAAAAATGGATCTTTTCCCCAAATTTTTACATTTCCGTTACCAATACGGAAATTGTACCGTTGTTGATTAATGTCAGTATTAACATAAATTGCCGTTAATCCCATTAAGAAAAGTAAAACAGAAAGCGGTTTAGGTAAAACGCTTTGGTTTCGTGCGAGCAATGATATAGGTGTAACATAAAGTGTCGGTAGAAGAACCATTCCTCTCCATATACGACAAAATCCTGCATTTATATAAGCAAAAAAAGTTATTTAAATCGCTGATCACCATAATTTTTTTCAAAAATCCGAAAAAATGGATGAATCGATGCATAAATTAAAAAACAAGCGAACCGGCTTTGTCGACTTGGGCGTCAAGTTGGCTGTAATGAAAATGTTCAAACCACAAAGTTCTTGCAATGTAAATTAGCTGTAGGATTGCACAAGCAATTAATTCTACTGAAAACTGGAAGCTCTGAAGAATTTTTCATCAATTGCAAGACATATGCTGGGGTTCTATTTTCTGCTGGAATAAACGTATGTTTCAAGAATCCAGTTGGACCCATTCACCTATATTTCTATATTCAAATGGATTCTCTAGCGAAGGAGTCTCTATTAGTAGGTGTAGGCAGTGAAAATAGAAATAGAAATGGTTGCTGCTATCGCATCAGTAAAATATGGTTAATGGATATGGGAAAGTTTAAGCAAATGCAAGTTAAGCGTTTTATACGTATTTCGAAACAGTTTTCGAACATATAAATCAAAACTAACAACTTATTTGACCGCGGATGGATTTAGAATAATGATAGGCTGAGATGATATAAATGGCCCATAATGTGAAGCTAATTCGGTATGTTACAAAATGTTTGATATCGATGTCAAGAATGGTCGGCGTGAGTTCTGTCCCATAGTAAAAATCGCTTATATTTACTGGAAAACATAATTTATACGAAATGAATTCTTGATTTGCTCTTTTAAATAGGTTTCGATGCGATTTCATTTAAATGGCAGTAGTTTTGCCTCCATTTGGGCCTTCCTTTACTAATGTTTAGCGAAAAAAAGTGACCCAAGTTATATTAAGATTAAGATTCTGGGCGATCAGATCATAAAAAAAATTTTGAGACGATCAGTTGCTGTGATCATTGTTTTCAGGTCGAATATAATAAATAGTTTCAAACAATTTTTTCCGCAAACCCAGTTTTAGGCTGAAAATGGTTGAAGCAGAAATTCCATTCTTAAATTTGCTTTTTCATGTAAGTGATTAGCGCTCACAATTTTTGGTTAGGTCCGCTATACAGACTAACTATCAATAAAATTAAAAGATTTGCCAGTGAGCCAGTTGGGGATAGAAGTATAACATAAATGAATTGCCAGCATTACCCGAACAGAGCAGAAACAGAACCCGAAGCTCTGAGGATTATTTGAGCAAGAATGCTTAAAAAAACAATTTGATCAGCAACCACTGACAAGCTTGACTGCTTATATGGTGTGCGGGATGGTAGAATGTGCGTTCCTTCGACTGGGGTCAAATATCATGGGTTTGACTCTTGATTCTCGGAAATTACTAAAAGTGAAATTCAGTGCTAAGGGCCCATGTGCTCTCTTCCATGCCCAAATGACTCTGCTGAAGCTTCCCCATTCTAATTGCCAGCACAATCAGCCAGAGTAAGAGAAGAAATTGCTTATGTGAGGAAAATGAACACAGAAATTCGAAAGAAAACATACTATTAAAAAAATCCGAAGTTTGACGCCTCACATATAGAATAAAAGTGATAAGTAATGAAACAATGTTCAATAAAGATATTATTGATATCCAATTGGAATAAAATATCGTAGCTCGGTAAAATCCAAGCGTGGAACCCATTATAAAGAATAAAACAACTAGAAGACACGATGGAAATGTGTTCACCTCTCGTTTAGATTCACATCCTGAAATATTTCAATGATTCAAATCATTTATGCATGGGTTCTGGGTTCTATTTTCCATTTTATCTTATAGTCATACATTCATTCATCTATAATTGCATTCCCAAAATAGTGACTGAAATTAATTTCATGAATTCCTAAACTGTGTTACCGCATAAACACTTCAATTTCACAACGTTACCTCTAAAATGAAATGGCCGATATATGGAATGATATTCCATATTTTTCATATAGAAAAATTTTTGAATTTTGGCTTTGTGCGAAAATTTCATCGGGGATGGGAATGAATTAACAAATTGTTGGTAGATATTTCAGAATGTGGTATCAGTTTCTCTAAACAAACTGCGCTATTATATGCCAATAAAATGCTCTTATAAGTGTGATTAACTTATCTGAAACACCATGTTTTACGATTTGCCAGAGCGCCAGAATGCCCTTCAGAACGAATCGAAAGTATCGGTGAAGTCAGTGAAGTTCGTAAAAGTGGATACTTAAAGAGATATTCCAATATCCAGTAGCCAGCGTGAAGATTAGATCAACTCAACCATGTCTTGGCTTAAATCCGACTTAGTACCCACCTTGCTTCTAGTAGTTGATTTCTCGATAGATGTCGGAGTGAATTCCATCATCTTTCTTGGGAATTGGGAGCAGAACTACTTTGTTCCAATCACATGGAATTTATTTCTTCCACACCTATGAAATTGGAACCAGGTATAGTCACTGCTCTGCACTCAAAATTAAAAAGATGGATTTGATGCAGGCAAGTGATGCCCATACGATATTTGGATATGGTATGGATGATTATCGCCTGGCTCCCTATATCCATAAGTGTTCTCACATTCCACACAACTACGGCCTCTCCGCGTGCATATATAGCCGAATGACATTTGTATGACTTTATTAAGTAGAATAGTGCAGTTCCTTCAGCTTGAGAATTAACATGGCCGTCTTTACTATTCTTATTATTAAGTCCGGTTAGCATGTTTATTGCATGTAGACCATGCGCATCGGAATGCGGGCATCATATGCGATTTTCTTGACTTGCTCGCCATGGAGTCACTTGCGAGTGCAGATAGGTCACCAGCAATCACCTGGATCACCTAGACAATTTTAATCGCAAGTTCAACGTTGTCCAGACAAGCAAAGAGGTAATTTCATAATAATTACGAAATTATCGAGGTAGGGAAAATTGTAAAAGAAAATTGTGTTTGTAGAAATCCTTTCTTTTCAGATTAATTCGAAAATAGATCTACTAGCTTATGTATTAATTTCAAAAGGTACTTGGCTTACTATGAAGCATGATGAATCTTTATCCATGATGAATCAGAAAATACTAGAATAAGTTAATAGATCTATTATAAAACTAACGTCAAAATAGCAATCATAATTTCGGGATCCGTTATATATCTTCTTCGTCTAACCGTTCATGATTTGGTTGCACCCGCTGGCTACTGGGCTAAGATGCATTCATGCTTCTAATTCCATTATATATGGGGCTACCAAACCTTTTATGATCTCTTTACGTTGAGTAATGCAACGTATTTAACTATAAATTTAGCGATAAATTACATTCTGAAATTATAACTTTAGCAATTCACGACCATTATTTTTTAGGAATTCATAAAATAACTTTACCTGAACCATCTGAAATAATAATAGTTTTTTTTGGAAGAATTAAATAAAAAAATAATTGCATCAGTGCAATAAATGACAGAACTCTCCATGCAACAGGAGACCATGGAGAAGGTAATACGGTGATGAATATACTAGAATTTTTCGACAGATTTTCGACGAACTGAAAATGAATAACAAATATTTTCTAAGAATTAACTAAATAGAAGCAAGCAAAATTTTCCAGTGGAAATATTAATGGCACACCATTCCTAGCTGCACTGGCTAGGGCTGTTAGAAATTTTTGCCATGGCATTACTTGGCGCTAGAAGCTAGAAGTACAGCTGGGTCAGCATCACCACTAAAATCTTTTAATAACAGATACTGCCTAACTATTACTACTGCTGTCTTCTATTCCACAAGGTTATCTTGCTCCTTAAGAGAAAATATTAAGCATCATCATTTATTAAGCAAAATGGGACTTTTAAAGACTACCATAAGGAAAAAAAGACCTGGATAAGATGTCCATCATACTCGTTTACGATAGAATTGTAAAGAAAAACGAATAAAGGAGAACAAAAGATGATAAAGACAATGAACCGAGGTGACCAGTCCTTCTTTCTCTGTAATTTATTATTTTCATCAAATATTACAAAAAAATTTAAAAAATTATTCATCGATTTACCTTAATTTTTTAGAAATTTTTTCTCTTTTTAATTAGAATTAATTGTGCCTCCTCAAACTTCATTGCACACTTTTTCCATATATCATCTAAAGATTTTTTACAGTAGCATGCCTACTGACTGGAAACATTGCCTGTGTGGCTTTGGATGATCGCAGCTTGCTTATAGGCATTTATCTATTCTTGCACTGAAATCTTAAAATTTTCGCAATTCTGCGCTAGGTATAATTTATTAAAAAACTACTATGCGCTGCAGCTTTTTGGTAATCCGGATCATGATGCTTGAATTGATGCTCTAAGCAACAAAAAATCTCAAGAGGAACATTTCTATATGTGTTTTCTCATTTAGGCAAAAAATATTGAATATTGTAACAAAGAGCAAATTTCAGCAGATGCTAAACGACGATGAGGACTTATCAATTATACAACATTACGCAATGATGCACATAAAGTTCCAACTATAATTTCGTTTAGTCAGCGAGCTGCAATGAAATAGTTAAAACATTTTTCGCTCTCTTAACAGTTTTATTTTGCTTACTGTTTGAAAATATTGCATTCGAAAGTCAATAGTATGAAATTATTATTATTTAAAAATATGACGTTAAAAATATTAAAAATCAAAATCATATGCCACCTCTCTTTTATGCAGCTTAGGGCACAACTACGACCGCTACATGTGGAACAAAGCTGCTTTTACTTGCAATAAACTTATACTCATCAAGCACTCAAACAAATGCCTCATTGCACAGATTTTCTTTGCCAAATACAATAGATACATTTTTCAATAAATCAGTGAAAACATTCGATAGCAAATTAGCTATATCCGAAATCTTGTATAGGTGCTGTGTTCAGTAAAATCTCATAAATCTCATTTGGCAGACCATAAATTAGGCCATAAATCTCATTTGGCAGACGATTTCTGTTGGTTGAATTTCAAAAAATCTGTTCACATATGTAAGTACTTCCAAATGAATATGAACATATAGCCATGATTTCTTTAAAAATGTGGAAAAAATTTTTGCTGGATGCACTTATAGAAATTTTATTCTTTGAAATTTACCTTACTTTTTCATTGTAGTGTACATCAAACAATTTAAGCTGTAATACTGGTTGGATTTTTTACTTTTTTTCAATAATTTGATAATTTCTTGATATAACTAGCATAAGGTAGGCTGAATTGTTTCTATTTGGAAAGTGACATACACTATTATTTCTAGCTGAGCATTGAATAGCGATAAGTTCATTCGGAATGCATATTATATAGCAGATAAGTTATAAAATTGCTTTTCCCTTGCAGTTTGAAATTCAATGCATCAATATGTATAAAAATCAGCGAGAAACGCCAACTCACATAACCATTTTCACTCTCAAAGTAGCTGATTTTTTTCGATTAAATAAACTTTTGTCTTCAATAAAGCTAAAAGACATCGCAATACCTTGACTAGGCTAGCCACTGAAGTTCGCAAGCACATCCTCCAGAAAAGCTTTGAATTTGCAGAGTTGACACACAGGATCACAAAAGATTCACTAAAGCTACAATGTCTGTAACATTGTCGAATATTTTTCACTAAGCAAATAGTTTTGTGAATCATAATATATATTTTATCGAAAGCTAAGGAAGCCAATCTAAACTTATTGTTTGTGTATGCAGTGGATACAATTCTAAAAGCTTTTCATGAATTTCTGATGCGGCACTATGAACAATTCTAGCCATTTGGACAGTGCTTGTAACAACTAATTTGATTCATTAACTGCCAGAGAACAATAAGTCACCGGAGGAGATCCACTGGAGGAAATTCAGAAAATTTATCTATATATAATTTGAAATATCGGCAGTTCGCGTTTGCCTATTTTTTCAAACACCTTTTGCAGCAAAGTGTGCAGGCGCGTTCATAAAACGTTCTTTCACAAAATCACCATCTATTCTTGATGCTATTTATCATAATTAACTGAGATGCACTCACTTGAACGCCATTTTTAGATGCATTAAAGAATAACTGTAATATATTTTGTTGAACTGTTTGTGAACGAAATTTTTTTTTAAGATTCCTCACCATTACTGGTTAAATTCGCTCCACTGACTTGTCGCATTGGGTATATGCCAGGGAGGCCCTTTGGCGATAGAAATACAAGTGAGTCGCCAGCATCCCAGATTTTTGTACAGATTTATTTCTTCGAGGACAAACCTCATTGGTGCTCCCAATTGAGCAACAACCCACTAAGCCATTCTATTCCCTAGTGAATGAAATAGGAAAGTTTGTGCCGTTAATTCGCCAGAACAATTTTTGTTGAAATCTGAATGTTTCACTTCAGAAAGGCGTTTCAAACTTTATTCTTTTGGCACAGCCTCATTTTTATTACAACATAAAAAATATTTTTATTGCTTTGAGAGTATAGGAAATTTCAATTTTTCTGCTTTCATGGAAAATGGGAAATTATTTGGAAAATTAAGAATAATCGAAATTCTATCTTTTTTAGAAATGATATTTGTTTAACCAGCCAACTCAAAAAGATATAAGTTTATGAAGTGCACAAATAAAAGTCATCAATTTTATTTAACTGAGAACTGAAAAAACTCACCACATTTAATGGAAATATAAAGATAAAATTGAGTAATTCGCTCAAGAAAGACTTTATTTTGCTTTACCAGGAAATATTAAGAGGCTAAATTTATTTATAATTTTCAGCGCTATTAGCAGTAGCAAGAAGCAAAGATAATTGAAAAAAATATAAAATATTGATAATCATGAAAATCATTTTCATGAAAAAATAGACTAAAAATTAGTAAATAGTAAAATTCATTTCGGTAATTGATATTCGTTTACTGCATAATTTGAGGATGTAATATCAACTCGGCTATTTTACGAAATGAGAAAATTTCAGCAAAAATTCAAAAAAAACAACAAAATATGCCTCATTCATTCCTATCAGGTGGAACAGATATGCGTAGTATAAGACGAGACAATTTCGTCAATTTTTACCACTGATAGATCAACGATTTGATTTGTGAACGAAGGCACCATTAGTTTGTGGTAAATGAACGTAGAAGAAAAGTATGTGAAAAATTTTAAAAAAATAAAATTCGACATAAATTTGAAAAATATAAAATTAAAGATTTGGATTTTTTCAAAGGTTCAAGAATTCGTGGTGATCCAAAGAGATTGAAACCGTGCGTTATGCACCACTGATCTTATCTATTCAATATTACAGCAATAAATGCGCTGATAACCCTTCTTGAACTAAGCAA